GTTAAAAGTGTTTCACTAATTCAAGACATCGGGATTCAAGATACAATAGACAATTTATTCCAGAGTGAGGGCCTAGGCCGAGATGTAAAATTGTAAATCTGTGACTGGAAAGTCAATTTCCTGACTCACCCATATTGAAGTTATAGAAGGGAAATGAGTGGATTTCCAGGGAGGAGATTTTTGGAGAGAGCTGTGCTAGCCATCTCTTCTCTACTCACCTGCCCCCCAAACTCAATTCTGAAGGAAGAAAGAAGAGAGGCTTTAAGGAGACCACTTAGAGAGCTTAATATGTGTCCTTTGCCTGTGCAGTTGGAAGTGGGGGAGGACACAGTAGATGAACTGGGGGATGACAGACAGGGTGAGTATAGTGGCTTTGGCAGCAAGGTGAAGAAAAGCTTCTCTTGTGACGGGATTGGCCTGTACTTCCAGAGCTTGTTGGGCAAATGATGTGTGTGTGCTTACCATAAGCCAGATTTAGGTTGGGGGTGGGGGGGATACACTAGTGAGGATGGAGGAGGCGGGATGGCAGCTATAAGACTTCCGCAGACAGTAGATGTATAAACTGCTCGATTCCCAGAACTGTAGCCAGACTGGAGAAGCTTATTCCAGGATGGAGAAAAGCACAGGGGGAAGGGCACCAGAACGCAAGGTTTTTGAAGAGCCAAGACCAACACCCACAAGAGAAAGAGCCAGTTTAAGCGTCATGCAGAGAATGCAAAGCTAGCTTCCTGACAGGGCGGACGATTTCGAAGTTTCCTCATCCTGTTCCCTCTTTTCCCTTCCCTGTTTTTTCTACCTGAAGGGTTAGAGTAAAACTACAGGTAAGAAACAGTGGAGACAGGTAGAAACAAGAGGCTGAGCATGCATTCTAAATGTCCCGTGACTGGTCCTTTGGCTGGTCTGGGATCCCTGTCTGGTGGGATGACCCAGACCTCTATTTCTGAGGGGTCTGAGCCCTTAGTTGCCTTGCTCTAGTCAGGCTGTGGTTGCTGTGGTTTCCAATTCATAATTACTGCAGGGCATGGAAGGACTAAGAGCGGGCCAAGTGAGTCCCCTGGCCCCTTGGACCCTGGGTTGTACACATCCTCCTTCCTGGCCTCCTAGCTTTCATAGTAATCCTGGTTAATCAGTGACCCAACTAGCACAGCAACTCCTTGTTGTTTTTGTTGTTCTGCTACTTCATTGGAATGAGGACGCCAAAGTAGCCAGGTGGTAGTCATAGCTTCAAGTTCAATGGAATCCTACTGTATTCCCTGATGGAAGCAATCCCCCCAAGAGAACTGCAGCCTCTATCCTGGCAGAGCCCAAGTGACTGGACATTGGAAGCCCAAACTGGGAGTTACAGTGAGACGGTTCATGCCTTGGTTTGCACTCCCATGAATTCTAGCTACTAGGGAAAACTGTACTACCTCTCTGTGAACTGTAAATTCACTGCCTATAGCACATCTTGGAGGATGGAGACCCAGCCCTGCAGGGTGCTGTGTCATACTGGCGGCACCTTAGCTGGGACCTCAACAGGTCACTCCACTATCCTAACGGGATGGCTGTCTCTGGGTGATGGGGTTCATGGTACGATCAGTGGCTCTCCTAGTCATAAGCCTATTGCTGCATCTGTGTTGCTCTAAAATGAGTCTTTTGTTCCTGAGTCCATGTAATTACCCAAATTAGATAACCCAGTTCTGCCAACAGAGCACCTGGCACATATTGCTATCCAAAAGAGCACTTATCGAATCAATGAATGTCTAGGAGGTTAGGTTCTAAGGAGAAGGAGTCATTTCATTTCCAGACCATGGGCTTTGGTCCACGGTGTACCACTGAGAGATATCTTTGGGTACAGGGAGGTAGTTGAGACTGGACTTCTTTGACTGTTGGTTTTATCTGTATGGAAAAGTAGGACCTAGGGAATTTGGTCTTTGCCAGCCTTCATGACATTTTCTATCATCAGCATTCCTGTTGAAATCTCCTGAAAAATTCCATTGAGAGGCAATCGCGTCCCAAAATGAGACCTATTACTGTACAATAATAGGTCCCATTATTGTATAATATAAGTGCCTGTACTTTCCCATAAGATTTATGAGGTTCCACCTGTCTCAGTCCTTTCCTGATTGAGGTATGGGACACTGAAACCAACCTTGCCTGTCACTTTCTCCTGGGTATGGCCTGTGAATGTTTCTGTTGGCTGCCTCACACCAGTTGGCCCCGCTCTAACACAGATGAATGGGCCCCTGAAACTTGCTGACTCCTCTGTTTACAGAATATTATGTGTTGAATTGTGCCCCTACGCTCCGGAAAATTCATATGTTGAAGTCTCAGTAACTCATAATTCAACCTTATAGGAGATAGGGTCTTACAGAGGTAATGAAGTTAAAATGAGTTAATTAGGGTGGGCCCTAATCCAATATGACTGGTGTCCTTAGAAAAGAGGAAATGTGACCATGTCATGTGACCATGAAGGTGGCCATAAAAAGCCACGGAGAGAAACCTGGAAGAGAGCTTTCCTTTATAGCCCTGTTGACACCTTGATTTTGGACTTCTGGCCTTCAGAACTGTGAGACAATACATTTCTGTTGTTTAAGCCACGGAGTCTGTGGTACCTGGTTATGGCAGCCCTATCAGGCTAAGACACAGAATCTGTGCCTGCACCCTACCTCACAGCAGAGGAGCTGGTCTGAGCCAGGGTGGGTAGTTTCACAGGGAGCAGATGTAGCTGACATAAGGTTGCAGGGATGGGCCAAAAGCTTTTAAGTTTTTCTAAGAAGCCCTTGGCAGACTTTCTCTGAAGTTCTATTGGAAGAACTGGGTCACATGGCCATGCTCTAGCTGCAGGCAGTGCTGGGAAAGGCCTCTGCACACTTCTGGGTGTACTCTTGGAGTTGAAGGCTCTTTTCCAGAGCACAGCCAATTGGAATTATCAAACTGGCTCTATCAACTGCGTCCAAGGAAATGTGGGCCTCACCTTTCTGGTGTCCAGATCAATAATGAATGTCAAGTAGCAAGCCATCTTTGACTAGATGACTCATCAATTTTGCTCCTTCCATGTGCCAGTTACTGTGCTAGACTTGAAGGAGACAGAAAAGGTCCCTATTTCATGGAGCTTACTGTGCAGTAGGAGACAGACAAGAAGACAGACTAGCCAAGGTAAGTCCTACTGGAGGTGACCGAGAGGATTTGTCAGATTCGGTGGTCAGCACTCTCTGAGAGGTAGTCACTTAAGCTCAGGGCTGAAGGTCAATTAAAATCGTGCTTCAACATGACAAGGAAAAACTGGAATAAGTCAGCTGGGAATTCTACAAATTGAAGTATTATTACATGCTTTTTTTTTTTCTTAGAAAAATCTCAGGTTAATTCAAATTTTGCCATCATATTAAGCAGTAGTGGATTCTGATACTTGCTATGAATCTGGCCTACCTTGGAGATATTGCAGGTTTGGTTCCAAGCCTCTGCAATAAAGCAAGTTGTAATCTTTTTGCTGGTGGAGGGTCTTGCTTTCAACTAGCAAAAAAAAAAAAAACGCAACATCTATGAAGCACAATAAAGCAAAGCACATTAAAAACGGGGTATGCCTGTAAATGAGGACACAGATGCTCAGATCTTGGTGGGCTCTGGCTCTTTCCAGCTCTGCAAACCAAGGTCAATAGTCCTGAAATTTGGAGACCTCTGGCCATTTTCTATGTTGGGCCCAGTAATGCTCCCTCATATAATATACCTGATTAAAACATGAATGTGAAATAAAGTACCCAGAGGAATTTCCCTGTTTGCAGGACTGCTTTGAAGGGTGGGCTCTACCCTCACCAGTTTGTGACCTGCAGAGCATCAACTCTGTAGGTATGGTGTTATGGTTGTCAGTATAATCTATCCATTTTTTGAATTCAGATTATATATCTATCGGCACATAATCTTCCTTTCTGATTCGTTGCAACTCAAAACTTTTCCAGAGGTAGAGGCCCCTTGAGGCAAAATGATTCCACTCCTAACAACTTTCGTACTCTCAAAAAGAGAAGAAAAAACCCCAAAACAAAGGCCAAATCTCTCTATCTCATTTCTCTAATTGTCTGCAGAAAGGCTTCGTTTTTAAGCTGGGACAGTATACCATCCTGACATGTAATGCCCTAACATCATTATGCACCTGTTTCTTTCTTTGGCTTTAGGGAAAAAATCCAGTTTTAGTTCCTAAACACCCTACCATCCTAACTCATCCAGCACTGCTCCCTAACACTGTACCCCCACTCTGGATAGTATATGGCTCATTCTTTTTTATTGTTGCCCCCCCCATATGTATTTTTTCCACACTTGGTTCCTGCTGGTTTTACAGCATAGAGACTAGGAATGTCTCCTGCTGCTGTCTGTCACAAGACTTTTCTTAATGGACGAAGGTACCAGGCACTAAAAAATATGGGGAAATGTTCTTATTTCATTCCAGTTCTCTGAACTAGACTACTGAAGAGCAGTTTCTGGTTTTTCAGTATTAGAGTATTCTACCACATTTGCTTTTTGGAGAGAAGCATTTAAGATTCAAAAATCCTGTGAGAGGCCTTATGCTATTTTTGAGAACTCAGTTAAGATTTACATAGAACACCTCATGCAACAGCACAGAACACCTGTCTGGAAGTCTGCGGAGAGACAGAAAACCGCGTTTCTAACGAAATATTCTTTGCTTTTTGTTGTAATGTTAAGTTACTGGTGACTTTAATTAAGGTAAATGAGCCCCATCTGATGGAGTGAGTCAGGCAGTGTCCTCGAGGAAGGAGGCTGCATAACACTGTTTCCAAGGAGAGAGCAAGCTGAGCAGAGTGTTGCGGGGCCCGTGGAACCTCGCGCGGGAAGGGCGTCCCCGCGACCGGCCTGGGGGGTGTCCCGTGCGCACACGGTCGCGGTCGGAGCAGGCTCAGGGCGCAATCTCAGCGCGATCGCGCGGGGGGCGGGCTCGGTGCTTGCCTCCGCCCGGCGGGGACGCTCTGTGCGCAGCCGGGGCCCCGGGTGTTTACCAGGCGTCCTAGCAACAGGCGGGCGCGCACTAGCAGCCCCGGGCGCGGGTTGGGCGCGGAGCGGGGCGCTGCAGGTGAGTGCTGGGCGCCGGGCTCGCTGCTCCTGGGGGCCCGGCCCTTCGGCCTCGCTCGGGTCTTTGCAGCGGTCCGCGAGGTTCGAGAAAAGGGTGCAGGTCACGGGCCTCGTTTCTGTCCCTCTCACTGTCTTGCAGTTCTCTCCTTGGGCCCGAGAGCCGCCCCCTCCCCTTCTCTCCCACCCCCGTCTAGCCGGGGCCTCCGCACCGACCCCCAGCGCCTGCCTGGACCTGGGGACCTCCCGCTGCTTCGCCTCCGCACCCCCTCCCCATCCTACTCGGACCACATCTCCTTGATTTGCTCTCACTTCTCCAGTTTCCTCCCTGCCTCTCTTACCCCCATTGTCCTGGCACCTTTGCCTCCTTCTCAGTACTATCTTCGCTGTCTGCCCCTTCCCGCCTGTCCCCGTACCTTCCTCACCCTTGGACACTTATCCTCCAGCTCCGACGGCTTTCATGTCAGCTCAGGAATTTTAATTTTTCTGTAGGTCTCACTGCATAGTTTCATCCTTCCTCAGAATGCCGGCGTGTGCCCAGACTCCCAGTTACTAGGCACATTTCTAAGTCTCAGGGTGGATGCTTACATTCCCTTAGCCTCATAAAGAATTAGGTTTTGCTTCTGCTCAAGTGTTACAGAAATTTTTCATGAATGGGTTTCACTTTATTAATGATACTAGAAGCTTGCATTTGTTTCTACTAGATTAGTAGAGAAAATGAGTGCAAAGCGATTCTCAATTTATGGAAACACATTCACAGAAACACTTTTTTCTTTTAATTGTTAAACTTCTTTAAAATCTTACTGTTAATTCAAAGACATGTATTATATATTTATTCACATGTAATCATTGTAACCATGGTGCTTAGGCCAAAGAACTCATGGTTGGCAATGGGTAGAAACTGGGAAGCAGCCTATCTTGATATAAAGTGTTAGTTTTTGTATTTTTTTCCTGAGTTATATTGACTGACCAATTTTGAACACCCCTGGAATTAATTGCATAAGTGCTGGCTTTGGTTCTCTTGGTAAGTTAAAAAGCCATCAGAAATTTCTCATACTTAAAAAACAAAGTTGATTACCCTGTTTTCTTCTTAAAACTCATTCAGTTAGGCCTGCAAAACACTTCTCTCCCTCTCTCTCTCNCTCTCTCTCTCTCTCTCTCTCTCTCTCTCTCTCTCTCTCTCTCTCTCTCAGCATTTTTATACGTGATCTCCCTTTTTTTGGAATGGTCATAGGCCCCACTGAGATTTTCTTAGGACTTTTGCTAACCAGCCTTCTCAAATCAAACCTGTCCATTGCTGAAGCTCCTGGTTTACTAGATCCAGAAAAACAATTAAAAGAGATTCAACTATGTTACCATTACATTTCTATAAAAATTGATCATGATGAAAAGAACTTCTTGCATTTCTTAGCTCCTTTTAAAGTGTCTTCTAGGTAGTTGCTATATGGAAAATAGACTGCCACAGACTTACATAATCTATGTAATTTCATATTTTGCTTTAAAAGGGTACAAGAAGGAAATGATGCACATGCTTTATATCTTATAGCTTTATAAGATCACCAAAAACAATTGTTATTTTTAAGACTAAAAACAAACAGAACTGTCCACCTAAGCTTTTGGGTATAAGATAAGGTTATTTGAACTTATTCTTAGTTTGCACTTGTCTTTGTAATACTGGGAAACTCAAGAGTGTCACACATACACATCAGTTCATGCTTCTGTGTTCGGCATCTTGCAATAGAAAGAACTGCACACTAAAGCAAATACACAGAACAAATTCGTATCCTAAATGTATACATTTTATTTTACTAGCACTTTTATATATACATATGTATACATCAGTTCTCAAACCTATCTGATCCAATAATCGGGTTTTTATAGCAAATATATTGCAATGCCTACTTTGCAATTCTGAAATCAAAATCGTAGATAATAATCCTACATATGTGCATAGGTTTAAATATTGATAGTGCCCTAACGGTAAAATAAAGGAAAAATAAAAGGAAAATGATTGTCATAAAATATCAGCGTGTCAGTACCATTATACTGAATAGGTAATGAAGTAGTCAGCTGCTCCAGCCTTTCAGAGAATTACTATCGATGCAGTAGCTCCAAGTGCAAACTGATACAGACATGTCCTTAAAAAATTGTGTGAATAGCCTTGCCATCAGTGGTGTGATTTTCCAAAATGTTGAGCTCTTGGTAAATTTCCATATAAAATGAAGTATGTACAACCTTCCTTTGATTTATATGATAGTTGCAATCCTGGAAAATCCAGTGTTAAAACTGAAAAATTGAAAAAAAATACTTTGTGATTATTTATAAAATGGAGCTATGTTCTAGGTGCAGACATTACTTACCCGAATAAAGTTTTTTACCTACTAGATGCCTGGAAATTGCAGCAGATTTCTTTCTTCTGGGGGACTGTCCGACACATTGCAGGATGTTGGCATTCTTGATCCTCACAACTAGATGCCAATGCTGTCCCCTTCCTGTCCCTTTTATTATTATTATTATTACTTCCTGTCCTTTTGATGATGAAACTGTATACAATCATTCTGTGCTGCTTCTCAGCAGGCACATCTGTGTCCCTGTTCCTGGATTTCATGATTTACTACAGTACAGAGAGTAAAATCCCCAAGTCATTTCTGTAGAATCTTGCTACTTCTGTGCTTTTGCAATAATGATTGGGGGTTGGGGGGAGGAGGGGAAGAAGCTAATTATAGTCTATGTTTAACTTTATAACCATTCTTTTGATATTCTGGAAATAAGATTTTGATGATCCATGATGTTATTACAAATGAGGAAGCCAGCAATTACAGATGATCTGAAAAAAAGCTGTAGATATTCATTATGAATTAATATCAGAACTTGGCTTCTAACTTGGTTCTTATTTAATGTTACAGATAATGTAATGTTTTTAAAGATCTTCTTTTAAAGACTAATTTCTATTTAGCCAAAGAGAAATTTATTTCACTTGAATTTCTGTTTAAATTTTAATGCTAGACTGTTTTGGTAACCAGTTTGGATAAACAGTCTAAAGAGATTTTCATTTGTTCTTACATCCCTCACATTTGCGTTTAAGAAAGTTATGAATTACAGTAAAATATCCTGGGGAGGACATGTGGGCAGTATTACTCAGATATTCTGGTTAATAAGATCAATATGTGCTACACCAATTTTCAGGTAAAAATAAAATTATATTTCACAGTAATGTTTTTATTCTATATCTTATCAATTCAGAAGGCACTTGGGGAGCTCTGAGAGCTCCCAGAATCATGTCACAGTCATCATTGCACTGAAGTGGGTATGATGACTATATGAAAGTCAAGGTAACACAATTCAATTTAATAGCATAATTCTAAACAATGTATGGCCCAGGTCAGAAGAACATTGTTCCCTTAACCCCCAGCTCCAGCAGAGCTGCAAATCAGAGGCCAGCTCTTTTTTCCACTCTTGGAGTTTTCTGTTTCCATTTTCTGCCCAATTATTTGAACTTTCTCTCTTAGGCCCAGGGAAATGAGAAAGAAGTTATTCATTTCAGGGCAGACGGGATTGGAAAATCCTTAAGTCCTAGTCAGTTATACTTCTAGCTGGTTCAGTGAAAATTAACTGTTTTATTGAAGACAATTTAAAAATCGACCTATAAGATGAATAAGCAGAATGTAGGTTGGGTAGTACTAGCTTAAAATCTTGAAAAATGTTCCAGTGAAAGTGTGGATGCTGTTGTTGTTTTTTCTAACTCTTTCTACTTTGATGTAGTGTGTGTGCTGAGCTCAGATCTGAGCGAGCCTTCTTGGATCCCATGGGGGTGGTGCTGACACGATCAGCGCAGTGGACTACTGCTGCTGGATATGGAAGTGGAACCCTGGAAATTACCCCTCTAAATGAAGCGATATTAAAAGAAATTATTTTGTTTGTGGAGAATTTTATCTATAAACATCCCCAAGAGGCAAAATATGTTTTCGTAGAACCACTTGAATGGAAGACAAATTTGGACCCCTCAGCATTTGAATCAGGTTATGTTGTCAGGTAAGCCAGTTAATTGCTTTTAGAATTGAACATCTTCATTGTACATATTTTTATTGATTGGTTTTGGACAGGTCACTTAACATCTATGAATCTCAGAAATCTTCTGATCCAGGGATTGCAAATCGGAAGCACTTAGGTGAAATCTGAGAATATTTTGTTTGGTCAACATACTAATTTTCAGTTTGAATTTGAATTTCTTTTAATAGGGGATGCATTCTCCGGATTACCACACTCCTAACATTAGCTGTTGTTTGACCCATGTTACCTGCCAGGTGCCAGTAGGCATTGCATTTGTGACCTCTGAGGTAGACATAATTTCTGGTATTTAAACCTACCAGCTCTCGGGTGGCAGAGGGAGAGTGGTAAATTTTACTCAATATAAGGGAGAGACATCTTAGCAATTAACTTTGCCCTTAAATGAGAACCTTCCAAATCTGAGATAAAGAAGAAAACCCTACTTCCGCTTCAAACAGTGAGCTGTTTTTACACACACACACACACACACACACACACACACACACACACACACACACGAGGTTGGGCAATTAAGCTCGCAAACTCATCCTAGAAAAAGTGCTACATACCTCATTGCTGAATATCACTACGGTCACCTTCGAAGTACTCCCGTTGGGAAGCTATGCACTGACGCCAGCGCCTAGTCCACCCTTCAAAGCAATTTTGAAACTCTTTTTCTGGAATGGCCATCAGAGCTGTCGTCAGATTACCCTTGATGTCCTGAATGTTATCAAAATGTCTTCCTTTCAATATTTCCTTTATCTTCGGGGAAAGAAGGAAGTCACTGAGGGCCAGATCAGGTGAGTAGGGAGGGTGTTCCAATACAGTTATTTGTTTACTGGCTAAAAACTCCCTCACAGACAGTGCCGTGTGAGCTGGTGCATTGTAGTGATACAAGAGCCATGAATTTTTGGTGAAAAGTTCAGGTCGTCTAATCTTTTCACGCAGCCTTTTCAGCACTTCCAAATAGTAAACTTGGTTAACTGTTTGTCCAATTGGTACAAATTCATAATAAATAATCCCTCTGATATCAAAATGTTAGCAACATTGTTGCAACCAGTTCATGAACTTAAATTGTCAAACCTCAAGAGTGTGTATGTGTGTGTGTGTGCGCGCGTGTGTGTGAACACATATACATGTATATATATATAAGATAATTATATATGATAATTCATATATCTCTTTGTTTTGGTCAGCCTTAGTTTATTTTCCACTTCAGGCATCCTGATCTTCTTTTCTTTAGTTGTGCATATGAGCTTCTAAAATTCTGACATATCAGAAACTGCACCTAACTACCCAAAGCTTTCTATAGGTGACTTTTCTATTTTTTTTCTCTTTGGGATTATTTGTGAGAATAAATTCAGAATTTCATTCTTAGAACTGCAAAACCATTCTTGAACTGCATTTCAAGAGCTGTGTAGCTCTGATAGCATGCTCTGCCTTCTCTGAATTTTTTGAAATCTTTTTTTAATTATATTTTATTTCTAACTCTGCAGATGGTAACTTTCTCCCAAAATGCTTGTCCTTCTTCGTTGCTCCCACCTAAGTTCAGTGTAGTATCATACATTGTTTTTTCTACCCTTTGAAAGATGAACTCATCTGCAAAAACAATTAAAAACACAACTGACTTAGTACAAAGATAGATTTAAAGCAGATGTTAGAAGAGTATTATTTTGTCATTGTATCTTGCCTTTGTTCTAATTTTGTGTTCCAACTACAAACACGACCACATCTGGGACCTAGTTAGGTGGACTGTCACACACACCTCAAATGTATCACTATTTCTTTTTCTGTATCCTTGTCCAATTTCTTTTGGCTTTATTTCCATTCTTACATCTCTGCATACAGTCTTTATGTACAGTGTTCCCTCATAAGCAGGATACTATGACACCATGTATGTTTTGAACCAACTACCCCTTGATTGTCTTCCTTTTTCAAATTTACTACGCACCTTTTCCTTGGGCCAATTTTTCTATCCATCATTCTTATTTGTGACCTTCATTGATGATATCTTTGATGTTGGAAGGGATGAGAAGGGTCTAATAATAGTGCTTGTTGTTTTGAAGCAAATCATGCCTATGTGGCTTGATGAAAACCAGATAGATACTGATTGCCCTGAAGAAGCAAAGAGTATAGCTGAGATTTTGGTAATAATGGAAAACACCAAGTGCTTTCACATCCAGGGCTTCATCATACCCCTTACTCTCCCCAACCCCTAACCAAAGATCTGTCAGCAACCCATAGTCACTCGGAGTTTTATTACGTCTAGCAACATAACAAGTGATGTAAACCAGAGATGCCTCAATAGCCAGAAGACTGTATTATTAAAACAGTCCCAGCTACCTTATTCTTTGGTTCACATGCACTCTCTCCTTGCTTAGCTGCTGACACTGCGTACACCATTTATGCATTTATTTAAAATGGGGAGGCTGTCTCTTTCCAGACAGGTTTCAGGCCTGTCAGTGCAGGTGGATGGCCAAAGTTATCATAAAGGATTTGAACTTAAAGTTTTTACATGTGTTTCTACCAAGTAGGAATGCCTTTGGGTGTTTTAGAGTAAATCATGTTCTTCTTTCTACCGATTCTCTCAGGCCTCTTGCTACAAAGCAAGTCAGTTTTATCTACACTGAAAGTTGATTGAAGTAGCTTACGCTTTGAAGCTACCCCGTTTAGTTGTTTTCTGCAGATATTTTAGGGCATATATTTATACTTGTACTTGTGGCCTCATTTCTCATTCGATGTCATGCAACTCTGAAGGCACTCTCTGTAACAACCAATGAAAGTTTGACCAGTCTTTTTCTGAATTAGGCTTATCAGCATCTGCGATTGGGCTTGATCCGTTAGTCACACACTGAAAAGGTTTTACATTTCATCAATTATAATATCTTCTTTTGTGCAATTGGTTTTAACTGAATACATAGACACAGCACTTTTCCCATGTTGCATGATTCATTTCTTTTCCTTTAGAATCATTCCCAGTGTACAGGTCTTCAACCTGTAATAACATTTGTCATCATCTCTCCATATTCATTTTTTTGGGGGGGAGGGGATATTTCTATTTTCATTGTAATGGAAATCATCAGTCTCTTTATTACCATTTTCAATTACTTCTGTTCTTTTCCGACAGGATGAGATTAACAATCTTCCTAAAACACCTCATAATGAAGCCCAAATCCATTGTAAACTAAGGACAGATGACAGCACTCCATGGCAGCACCATCTGTTGGTGCTACACACACCTGAGGCGCTTTGATTCTCTCGAACCTAGACTGGGAAATTTATAAACTAGATAAGCATTCAGAATCACTTTGTGAACATGTTATTACCTGCTCTTTTCTCTTTTTCTCTGGTAGAACTATGATGTTTGAATCACATTTACTTTAATATTGTGGTATTTTAGTTTTGAGTCTTGTTCTGCCGTGTCTCAGTGCTTTGTATGAGTTAGGACAAAATTACGTGCTGGTAAAAATTCTAGATGGATGCCCAAGTAGTGGCCCTTTTCCCCATAATAATGCGTACTTCACCCACAATTCATATTTGTGGTCCTTAGTTTTCTGATCAAGATATATCATGAAGGGCTGAAATACATGATCTCCAACTTAAAATATTGTATTTTGGTAAATTTTTAAAGTCAGTTCATTAGGATCAATGGCCATAACTTTTGTTATTGGGCTCTTTGTTTTTTGGTCTCTGAGAATTTACCCTTAATGAGTAGTTTCTCAACTCCAGCCTTATTTCCTGTGTTACTCTTTAGACATGCATTTATTGAGTAATTACTATGTTCTGGACACTAAAGTAGACACTGGGGATTAAATAAGACATTTTCCTGCTTAGTATTGTTAGCTCCCTTCCCCAATTCCAATTTAAAAGTTTCTTGATCAAGTCAGTGGATTTCATTTCCAGCACGTTCTTCTTGACCTTCACCAAGTAGGTGCAGCATTTTTCTTCCTAAGAGCTCTTTTTTCAGGTGTGAGGATCTGTGAGCCCAGAAACTGAAACCCACTCTTACACACCGCCCTGTAGCTGGCTCTGTTAAGTTACAGGTTTCAACTGGTAGGAGCAATGAAAATATCACCTTTGCCCTTCAGGTCTCCCATGCCTAACCAGGCGTTTCACTTTCTCAAGTTAAGCAATTTGATATTGTTGGCATTCATTCAGCCTATAACTTAGTTCTTTCACCATTCACTTAGCACGAGTGTCCAGCCCTGATATGAGTCTTTAAGAAATGTCCTCAATCCTAAGGACATTACTTCAAAAGCTTCACTGTAGAGAAGATACACATTTTGCACACAAAGGACATACATCAATGGCAAGCCTGAAAACATTTTATTCATTCATTTATTCCTCTTATATTTATTTAACAGCTTCTGTGTGCAGTTACTATGTGAGATACTGGGATAGAGCAATGGGCGAGATTAGTAGAAGTCCCTGTCTTAGCCCCTATTGGTGCTGGAACAAATTAGCACACACTTAATGGGCTAAAACAACAGAGCTCTATTATCTTACAATTATGGAGGTGAAAAATCTAAAATGAGTCTGCAGGGCTAAAATGAGAGTGGCAGGGCAGTGTTCCTTCTGGGGGCAGAAGGAAAATTTGTTCTTGCCTTTTCCAGCTTCTAAAGGCCACCTACATTCCTTGGTTCACGGCTCTGCATTTCTCTGACCTGTTTCCATCGTCACTTCACCTTCTCTGACTTGAACCATCTGCCTGCCTCTTCTAAAGACCCTGTAGTTTACATGGGGCCCACCTAGATATTCCAGAATAGCCTTCCCGTCTCAAGATCCTTAACTCGATCCATTTGCAAAGTCCCCTTTGCCATGTAAGGTAACACAGTCACAGGTTGTGGGGATTAGGATGTTGAGATTGAGGGGAGCCATTATTCTGCTTCGTACAGTTTTGACCCTCTTGTTTCTAGTCTAGTGACATAGGGTGAGTAGTAAGTAGATGGTCCGAGTCTGTCAGATTTATTTTTTCTGATGAACTGTCAACATTTCATATCTATTTACCTGCATTACTATTTGAAATACGTTAGATCAGGTTTTAAGATGTGGGCCGTTTTGTCAGGGATATCAGTGTGTAATGAAAACCTAGGCAGTTTAATTAATGTCATAAGTGGTAGAAATCTATAGAAATATTACTGCCATAAAAAATCTTAATGTTTTTAAAATGCTGATCTAAAGCACTCATTAAAATGGACAGAAACACAAATCTAGGAGACCCAATAATTTCTGATCAGGAAAAGCCCATTTAGAGAAACTAGTTATTATCCTAAAGTAAATCAAATTAAGGGTTTGGAGTGGGGAAATAACCCGCAAAAAGGATCTAGTTTGTCCTCTTTTTTTTAGCTTTTTTGTTCATAAACACAGAGTAGCCAAGAAAATTTCTAACCACTAATTGCTGTGGTATAAAAATTTTACAAATAAAATAACACTAGAGATCCTCAAAACATTAATGGTTCTGTAGAATCAGTGACTTTTTAAAAATTTTTTATAGCTGAGCCATCTGCCACTTGTTGACAGCTCAGCGGCAGCTCAGCTTGGGCCAGGACTCGAACTGCTGTTGCTCAGAGCTCACACTCTTGAGGGAGCTCTTAACCAACTGAGCCACTCAGCCAGCCCCCAGAATCAGTGACTTTCTAAAGTGGTCCAATGTATTGTTAAAAAAAAACAACAAAAACTGAGCTCATGTAGGTACTCAAGAAATTGCTTCAAATTTTCTTGCTGGATATAATATTGCTCACTATGATTGCTAATAAACTTGTGGATTTAAGGGTCTTAGTGTGGATGAAAGTGGAAAAATAAATGACCTTCTAATGAGGTATTTATATTCTCTGTGTGTTATAATGAGACATGGGACAGTTTGATGAAATATCTTAAATTTCTACTGGCATCCGGGTAACCTGAAGCTTTCTTCTTTTTTTTTTTTCATTTTTAGTGCAACCACAGTCAAATCAGAAGAAGTTGATAAAAATGGGCAGCCTTTGCTATTTCTCTCTGTACCACAAATTAAAATTAGGAGCTTTGGGCAGCTGTCATGTTTGTTATTTGTTTCCAAAGATGCAAAGCTGAAGGAAGCACAAGCATGTATTGAAGGTGATATTTCCACTCCAGTCTGTGATTTGAACTTTTAGAAACATAATCTAAGGCGAATCATTGGTTCTAGTCTCTTGAAAAATGTTCTCTGCCCTAAAAGGTACAAAGTCATACGTTTGGCTTTATAAAAATTTCATTAATTTTCCTTGGCTGAAATGTTACGCTGATATCAGATTTCTACTTCACAGTGAAAGGCCTAATACTTTACCACTTCACCAGTAAGCTTCTAGATTTCTAATTTTAGCCCGTGGTTTAAAGAGAAGGCTTCCTGTAGCCTTTCGGGTCCATGTCAGGAGAGACGAGAGATGTCCATGACTGGAATCCATCCTCTCCCCTCACATAGTGCTATGATGGATGATGACCTGTCTTCTTTCAAATGAACGTAGGCTTTTCCTTTAGCCGAGCCAGCCCGTAATAATCTCACTTTCCATTTGTCTCAAGGCTCTTCCATTGTGGATTGCACGACCTTCTGTGATATTTCCAATCATTTATTTTCCTCTTCATTAAGGATATATAGTATGCCCATTATTGTCTAATCGTTTAATAGCCAAAGAAAAACGTGATTGATTGCCTGTTACCATTATGTTCTAAATATTTCTTATGAGAAAGCCCCAATGAGGTGTATATGTTTGGCTTCCTTGGCATCATCTGACCAGTGGGTCCCAGGCATAAGGTACCTGAGTTCCGCCTCTCGCCATCCTTTGACACTGTTCATGGCTGTGAGGTGGGAAGAGGATCTTTTCCCTTTTCTTTTTAAATTCAGTTAAGAGGTATACCTTAGGACAGCAGCCTCTTCATGTGTCCTGCCTACTTTTCCTTAATAGGCTGTTCTGTATACCAAAGCTACTTTCATGAGGAATGAAATCTTGAGAGTAAAGCTGAATTCAAGAAGATTGTTAATAATGGCATGATTCTTCATGAAATTCAACTTAATATATAAACTTGATACATAGACTATTGTTTATCGAGTTTGACTAGATACGTGTCCTTTGCTGCATTTTGCCCTTTCTGTAAGGATTCTGAGTACAACTCTGAGTTTTAGGTCCAAATTCCATGGTACCCGGCAATTTGGGAGTCAGTTTTATGTCTTTTTCTAGAATTCACCTAGTATTGCTTTTCATAAATCTTTATAGATGACAGCCATTAGGTTGATAAGTTGAGATGCTCAATAAATAGTTGATTCACAGGTATCCTTTCTTTACACCTCCCCTCAAGTAATCCTTCCTTGGTCCTACAGGTATTCTGCTTTTTCCTGGTGACACAGCCCATTTCCTGGTGGAGAGTTAATGGCATTACTGTGCTTCTTTTCATCTCAATCAGATTAAGCTTTCTGAATTAGTCCCACAGGCATTTCCCCCCTCCCAGTCCAAATGCATATACACGTATATTTCATCTTCCTTGAATTCTTTCTTTCTGAACATGGTTTTGCCCCTTTCTCCTTCATTTTCAATCATATATATTTTTTAACCTTTACCAAATTTTGTTTTCAGCATCTCTGGGTTCAACTTTCACATCTATGTTAGCCTTGAGTTGGTGTTTCAGTTCTTCACTATAATTTTGGTATACGTGTGTAAATACTGGCTAGATTTGCTTTTCCAACTCTAACATCAAAAGGGATTGAAAATATAAGTAGTTTGATCAGGTGGAAAAGACTGGCAGGAAATCTGTAGACTAAAGGAAATATGCTATTTTGGAAAGAAAGCATTGTGAATACTGAACACTGGTACACACACACACACACACACACACACACACAGTTCTAGTAATGATTCTTCTAAGGAGACCAATATTCCTCTATCTGCTAATCAATTCTGAATATATTAATTGAATGCCTATTCTGAATAATGCTTCATGGATAACTAAAAGAAAAAAAAAGAATGTCTTAGCCTTTGTCCTATGAGGGAGATGACATATATAGATGATATTGCAATACAAAGTAGAACATCTCAAAACGTATAAGAAAGTTCCTAAATACAGTAAATCTGAGAAGTAGAGATTAATTGGGTCGATCAGAGAAAGGTTAGTGAAAGAAACATATTTGAGTGGGCTTCAAAGGATTTGTTTGTCTTTATGTTTCTTGTAATAGAAGACAAGAGGATAATTTTTACTTATTTGCCTTTTTGATCAGCTAACAGAAATCCTGTAGCAAAAATCCTGGGCATGGATTATAATACAATGAAAGCAGACACATCAGTATTAAATATTCTTGATAAAATTACCAAAGATGATGATCCTGAAATTGAGATTAAGATGAAGATTGCCATGCTGCTTGAGGAACTGGATCTGCACCTCCTGAACTATTCTCTAAAACACACTTCGTTGTGAGTCTTTTAAAAAAAAGAGACCTCTAAAAATTAGTTGCAAAAAGGGCTTTCAGAATTTTAGGGGAAAAAAAGAAAAAGTATGAAACTTATTGCTTCTGATTTAACATTCAATTTTATTGGAATAAAAGTTTAGTTTATTGCATGGATATTTATATTTCTAAAAATTAAAATTTGCAGTTGACATTGCTAAAACATTCTAGTGAGATTTCATCGAATTCTGAAGACATTAAGTGGCTTTAGAATTTTCAAAGTCTCTTAAAACTCTCAGATAAATTATTAAATTATAACGCAAATATCATGTAGAGTTTGTCTGGTTTAAAACTTCTTCATTTTTCTAGTGTTTCTAGCATTGTCTTTAAGAAATAAAGTGAATATTTAAGTGAATATACTTAATGTTGCATTAAACATGAGTCAATAATTCCTTGATGATTTGACAGTGTTATGAGATTATAACATGGCCAAAATTAACAGCAATTTTGTTGTTGTATAATTTAGCCACAATTTTAATTATAAGAAAAGATGTTCCCCATCATAATGGAGTATTTTCATGTATTTTCTGTAGATTCTGTTTTAAAATATTTAAAATGAATTTCTAAACATTTGTTTCAGAGAAATACATTTAAATCCACTGACTGTTAAGAAGGATATAGAGCTACTCAAGCGTTTCTCAGGAAAAGGAGAACAAACAGTCTTGGAGTCTATTGAATATACCTCAGGTTTATATCTTCTCAGATTCATTTATGTTATATATATTTTCATAATTATATTTTTTAAATGCTTTAAGAGCTACGTTAGAATTTATTATTTAAGGAAATGAAAACAATTGTATTAACTATTTATGTTTTTGGAGCCAACATATTTTATAAAACTCTAAATTGATTGATAATTGCTTTCAGATTATGAATTTTCAAATGGATGTCGAGCCCCACCTTGGAGACAACTTCATGGGGAAATTTGTTATGTGCTGGTGAAACCACACGATGTTGAAACTTTGTGCATTACCTGTAGTGCAGAAGGAGTATTTTTAAATGGTGTAAGTAAAAAAAAAAAAAAAAGTACTGACATTGGTGCTTAGCTTGGTCTCTCTTAGTGCAAACATGTCTCCAGGACTGAATCCCAATGACCACAGAAAATAAAGTGCTGTTCTGTGGGATTTGAGCAGACCCCCTTTGCTATGTGTGTTTGTTGGGCCAATCCAAAATTGTCTTAGAATTAACCCCAGTGTTCCCACTGCAGATCATTAAGCCAGTCTTCTAAGAAATGGCCTTCAGAGTGGCTCATTAACTTTATAAAACAAAAACCTCTTTAACATAGTTACACAAGTATTAAAGGGAAAAAAAATTAAAAAACGAGCACTGAGGTTAATGGAAAAGCAATAATGGCGGCTTCTGTCCTTAGAGTTGAGGGGACAAAGGGAAGAGGAGGAGGGGTTATCAAAATGTGGACGCCTGGAGGAAGTGCCCCATGAAGCTGGGACCCAGATGTCTGCAGAGCGGGTATTGTCAGGCTGCTGGTACCTTAGGAGCTCAGAGGAGGGCCCGACAGAGCTGGGACTTAGACCTCTGAAGAGTAGACCCTGCTTGCCTTGGTGAGGGTCCCTTAGGAGCTCAGAGGAGGGACCCCCAACGAACTGGGACTTACACCTCCAAAGAATGTCACTCCCAGGTTATGCTGGTCCCCTCGGAACTCAGGTGGTCTCCATGAAACCGAGACCCAGACCTCTGAGGAATAAGCACTAACCAATTAGTGCTGGTCCCTCAGGAGCTCAGAGGAGGACCTTGGCAGAGCTGAGACGCAGATCTTTGAAGATGGTGCCCTGGTTGGCTGGTGATGGTATTTCTGAGGGGATATGATGACCCTTATTGTGAGACTATAGGGAAAAACAAACACTGGAAATTAGAACCAACTGTTGCTACTGGAAGCAACTGCCACTGCCACAGGCCATTGCTGGGGTGACTAACAGGAACAGGGGACGAGTAGGAAGGAGTATGTCCCTTGTTTTTCCAGCCTTTCAGTCTTGCTTTCACTTCTGGCTGCCTGAAGCGAAACTAACCTGGCAAAGGAGAAACATAGTTTTGCTGATTCCCAGCCCGAGTATCACAAAGCAGAGTGTGGATGGGTGGGCCTCGAGCTGGGGAAGAAACAGCACATAGCCTTCTGAATCTTCTAGTTTAAAAAACTTTATTTTCAGCCTTGTACCTGTTCACTGAACTTAACTAGAAGGACCTCAGCTTTCTCCTTTGCAACACCCTGCCCTCGATGTCTTTAATGTAATTTTGGGACTGACCAGCAAAATTCTACAGGGGAACCCAAATCCTTAATGGTGTCCCAGCTATCACAGGGGACTGCTTGGAGAGTAGTTACATTTGGGCTTTGGGTTGGTATCAAAATTCTAGTGCTGTTTTCTTTTCTTTTCTTTTTTTTTTTTAAGCTGAGCCATCCTGCTACCTGATGGCAGCTCAGCTCGGGCTGGGATTTGAACTGCTGTTGCTCAGAGCTCAAACTCTTGAGTGAGCTCTTAACCAACTGAGCCACTCAGCCAGCCCTTAGTGCTGCTTTCTTGATTACTTGTTGACAACCCTTCTGACATGTCTTTAGGTGCTTTTCTTATCCGCATGCCACTTAGCTTATTTCTGCATAGAGGAGGGAGACGACCTAAATATGATTTTGCTTTTGGTTTGTTTTGATACTTTAGAAAAGTGAAATCTCCATTCAGAAAATGAGAGTTTTAAAAAGGAATGATTTCCTTTCACCATCTAGAGTGGGACAAGGAGCCTTTGCTTCTGGAAAAGGCTATTGATCCACAGATCCAGAGACAACTTTATTTGATATGGAAACATCTAAGTATTCCTCTCAGTTTAAAAAATGAAAGCCAAGGAACATGAAACTATTCTGTAATTACAACAAAATGTATACACTACACTACAGTTATATGAATATTCATGTTTTATACATATATACAGTTACATTTGTAACATACTACAGTGATAAATATGCTTGGTTAAGGGAGAATAGTTGGGGTAGGAAAGGAGGGAAATAAGGAAAGGAAAGAGACAAGAAGTGAGACAGGTAGAGGGTGGAAGGAGGGACAGATGGGTGCATAGTGATCATAACCCTAGAAAATAAGCCCATAGCAACCATGCTACACACAGAACAGGAGGAGTGTGACAAACAGAAACTTAGGTTTTACTGTGGTGACATTCTAATCTTGAGGCCTTTTATGACTTCATCAAAGGCTCTTAAAATCATAATGCATTTTCACGTTAGAGGAACGCAGAGGAAAGGATGCTGTGATTTCTCTGCTGAATAGCAGAGTGCCTTATGCGCACATAGGCGGTACTCAGTAAAGGCTTGCTGAATGAATGAATGAATGAATGAATGAGTAACACTAAGTTAAGAGGGAAGGGGTTTGCCTATACATTTCATATATAAAGACTATCACATGGTCCTTTAGAGAAGAAAACAAGATGTGTGCTTGTGTTGTGATGTATTGATCTGGTTCTTATATTGCTATTACATAAATAATAGCACCAAACTTTTTCTCCCAAAGGGCAAAACAGATGCTGAGGGCGAAATTAACTATGAGAGAATAGGTGCAATTTATAAAGATCTTGTCACATTTTTAAAAGAAAAATCGGCAAAATTTTCAGAAAATATGTCTAAACAGGTAAGTTTTATTGTCTCTTTTGAACTTTCATAGCATTATAGATGACTTGATGACAACTTTCTATAGTATAAAAAAATCAAACTAAGTCTGCCTAAGTTTGGACACTACTTTTAATTATTAGAATGTTTTTCACAATATAACGTAAAGTAAGAAATATTGTAAATATAGTATTTTAAGAATGTTCCTGATTTTCATTAGGCGATAGATACAATATTTCAAACTGCTTTCTAAGTAGCACTTTTCCATCTTCCCTTTTGAATGAATAACATTAAGAACAAAGGACTCAGCCTGTTAATGAAGCCTAGGTGTTTTGATTATTTTTACCCTTTCTGGATATCCCATGATTACTACCCAAGTGGATTGTTTTAATAAGTGTGTCAAATGCATGTGAATTAGAACTGTGCTTCTTTTTGTGTCTGCCATGGTTTTTGAAATAGTGCTGTTCAAAGAAATCAGTCAATATAGTATTTTATGATATAAAATTTTGATTGAAGCTGATATGGATAAGAAATGATATGCAACAAATACTAATGTGATACACTCCAGGCTGATTCTCAATTCCCTGGTGTCAATTTCCTAGATCCCACATGAGGTAATTTTCAGGTCCATTTTCTTTCCGACCCTGCCACTTCTGGAGTGCTCCATTTTCTTCCTAGATTGCTGTTGATTTGTCCTGGAACTTCTCTTTGTCATCATCCTGTGAATTCTTTTTGTTTCCTAGTGTTTGATCAACTGCTTCCTGGATCCCAATTTTCCTTTGTTGTTGTCATAACAAATCTACATAAAATATAAAATTTGCCATTTTAACCATTTTAAGTGTATCATTCAGTGGCATTAATTACATTCACAATGTTGTGCAACCATTACTACTGTCTATTTCCAAATCTTTGCATTATCCCAAACTAAAACTTGTACCCATTAAGCAATAAATTCCCAATCCTCCTTCTGCCAGCTCCTGGTAAACTCTAATCTTTCTGTGTCTATGAATTTGCCTATTTTAGAGATTTCATATAAGTGAAAACATATTTTGTCCTTTGTGTTTGGCTTATTTCACTTACATAATGGTTTTAAGATTTATCCATATTGTGACATGCATCAGAACTCCATTCCTTTTTATGGTTGAATAATATTTCCATTTATGTATATACTACATTTATCTCTTACTAAATACTTTGGTTGTTTTCACCTTTTGGTTACTGTGAAAAATACTATGAATATTGGCATACAAGTATTTGTTTGAGTCCCTGTTTTCAATTCTTTTGGGTACCTTCCTAGGAGTGGAATTTCTGGGTCATAGGTAATTCTGTTTAACTTTTGGAGGAACTGGCAAACTGCTTCCACAGTGGCTGAACCATTTTACATTCCTATCAGCAATGTATCAGGATTCCAGTTTGTCCACATCCTCATTGACATTAATGTGTGTGTGTGTGTGTGTGTGTGTGTGTGTGTGTGTGTTTTATTATAGATATCCTAGTAGTGTGAAGTATGGTATCCCATTGTGGTTTTGATTTGCATTTCCCTAATGTTTGGTGATGTTGAGTGTATTTTCATGTCCTTATTTGGCCATTTTTATATCTTCTTTGAGACAATGTCTATTCAAGTCCTTTGCCCGTTTTAAAAATTGGGTTGTCTTTTTGTTGTTGAGTTGTAGTCCTTTATGGATTGTGGCTAGTAATCCCTTAGCAGATAGAAGATTTGCAAATATTTTGTCCCATTCTGTGGGTTGTCTTTTACCTTATCTTGGTAAGTGTTCTTTGAGGCAAAACACTTTTAATTTTGATAAAGGCCAATTAATGTGTTTTGTTGTTGTTGTTGCTTGTGCTTTTGGTATCATGCTTAAGAAACCATTGTCAAGTCCAAGGTGATAAAGATTTGCCCCTATGTTCTAGCGATATTCTAGTTTTAGCTCTTAAATTTAGGTCTTTGGTTCATTTTGTGTTAAGTTTTGTATATGATATAAGATAGGGGTCCAATTTAATTTTTTGCATGTAGATACAGTTTTCCCAGCACCATTTGTTAAAAAGATTGTTCTTTTCCCATTGAATAGTCTTGGCATCCTTGTTTAAAGTCAATTGACCATAGATGTAAGGGTTTATTTTGGGGATATCAATTCTATTCCATTAGTTTATATGCCTATCCTTAACAATCCATTACTGTTTTGATTATTATAGTCTTGTAGTAGTTTTGAATGTGAAAAGTGAGTCCACAAGTTTGTTCTTTTTTTTTTTCAAGACTGTTTAGGCTATTTGGGGTCCTTTGACTTTCTGTATTAATTTTAGGCTGGGTTTTACCATTTCTGTTAAAAAACACCTTCAGATTTTAATAGGGATTCTATTGAGTCTGTAGATTGCTTTGTATAGCATTCTTCTCTTAACAATATTAAGTCTTCCAATCCATGAACATGGGATGTCTTTCCATTTGTTTGTGTCTTCTTTCATTTCTTTCAGTAATGCTTTATAGTTTTTCAGCATACAAGTCTTTTGCCTCCTTGGTTAACTTTATTCCTAAGTATTTTACTCTTTTAGATGCTGCTGTAAATGGAACTGTTTTTCTTAATTTCCTTTTTGATTGTTTACTTCTAGTGTATAGAAGCACAACTTATTTTTGAATATTAAAATCAGATCTGATTTTTAATATAAAATTCAAAATTGAATCCTGCAACTTTGCTAAATTAATTAACTCAGTTTTTTTTTTAATCCTTAGATTTGTCGACATGTAAGATCTTGTCTTCTGTGAACAGAGATACACTTCTTCCTTTCCAATTTGGATGTTTTTTTCTTTTTCTTGCCTAATTACTGTGGCCAGAACTTTCAGGACTATGTTTAATAGAAGTGATGAAAGCAGGCTCCTTGTCTTATTCCTGATCTTAGTGGAAAAGCTTTCAGGCTTCCACCATTAAATATGATATTAGCTGTGGGCTTTTCATATATTGCCTTTGTCATATTAAGGAAGTTCCCTTTTACTCAATTTTCCTTTTCTTGGTGCACACCATCATTTTGGTAGAGTTTCCTGAGTAAAAGAGGCACATAAGAGGGAAAAGTTGAGGGTAGCATGTTTGAAAATATCTTTATTCTTCTCTCTTGGTTATTTCTATAATGATAGTTTGAAAATAATTTTTACTTAGAATTTTAAAGGCATTTTTTAAATGTAACCTGTTTGTCTTGGCTTTTGTGATCTAACAAAAATCTTTAGGATTTTTTCTTAGCCCTGATGTTCTGTAATTTTCATGATGATATGGTTGGTGCTGGTTATTTTTTTTCATTAATGATGACATATGTCCTTAAAAAATGGAAAAAACATTTTTGTATTACGTCTTGAATCGTTTTTTCCTCTGTTCTTTTTGTTCTTTTTTATGAAACTTACTAGTTGGATGTTGGGCCTCTGGGAGTGATCCTCCTATTATCTTTTCCGTCACGCCCCCACTCTTTCTGGAAATATTCCTTTACTTTATCTTCCAAACCTTGAACATATCATAAAAATTTAAGCTCCTTTATTTTTAAGCAACTGGTAACTGCTTTCCAAAGTGGCTGCAATATTTTACATTCTCTCTCATAGCATATGAGAGTTCCAGGCCTTCTACACACTCTTCAATAATTGATATGGTCAGTCCTTTAATTTTAGACATTCTTATAGATATGTATTGGTATTTCATTGAATTTTAATTAGCATGTCTTGAATGCATCTTTTCATATACTTATTTTCCATTCATACATCTTAAGTGCTAGAATGTCTATTCAGATCTTTTTGCCCATTTTTAAATTGGATTCTTTGTTTTTTTATTTTTGAGTTATGAGAGATCTTTAAATATATTCTTGGCTTATGTATTCTATCAGATATATTATTTGTAAATATTTCTTCCAGTTTGTGGCTTGTCATTTCATTCTCTAAACAGGGTCTTTCAAAGAGCAAATCTCCTCAATTTTGATAAAGTCAAACTTATTAAATTTTAATAGTGTTATATCTAATAAAGCTTTGCCATCCCAGTGTCACAAAGATTTTCTCCAATGTTTTCTTCTAGAAGTTTTTAAATGCTATGTTTTACAATTGGTTCTGTCTATTTTAGTTTATTTTTTTGTACATGATATGAGGTATAGACCAAAGTTGCTTTTTTTTTCTTTTGCATGTAGATACATAGTTGTTCCAGCACCATTTGTTGAAAAAGCTATCCTTTCTCCACTGAATTTTCTTTATACCTTTGTCAAAAATCAGTTGCCCATTTGTATGGGTATGTTTCTGTTCCATTGATCTTTTTGTCTATTTTTATACCAATATCACACTGCCTTGATTACTGTAACTTTATAATAAGCCTTGAAGTGAAGTAGTATCAATACTCCAGTGTAGTTATTTTTCAAAGTTGTTAGGCTATTCTATATCTTTTGCATGTCCATTAGAATATTAAAGTGAGCTTGTCAATTTCTTCATAAAATCCTGCCTGTATTTCATATTTGGGGGCTATTGTTAATGGCAGATTTAAAATTTCAATTTCTGATTATTTGTTGCTACTATATTAAAATATATTTGATTTTTGTGTCTTGAGTTTATATTCTGAAACCTTGCTAAACTCACTTAATAGTTCTCGTATCTAGTTTGTAGATTCCAGAGTGCTTTTTATGTAGACTACCATGTTGTCTGTGAACAAAGACCATTTTACCTCTTTCTTTCCTATCTCAGTCATTTTATTCCTTTTTCTTTCCTTAATGTACTAACTGGAACCTCCAGTACAGAATTGATTAGAAGTGGTCTCTTTTTCCTGATGGCAAAGGGAAAACTTTCAGTTTTTTATTAAGTATGATGTTAGCTGTTTTTCCTAGATGACATTTCTAGGCTTGAAGAAGTTCCCCTGTATTCCAAGTTGTTTTGAAACTTTTATTAGGAATAGATGTTGGATTTTATCAAGTGATATTTCTGTACCTACTGATAGATACAGAAAAATGATAATCATTTTTTTTTAAGTTTAACATGGTAAGTTTCATTGATTTTTTTCAAATGATACATCAACT